TGACCTTTGACCTTAAAACCTGAAAAGCAATCCCAAAAGAGCATGCCCCTTTGGTAAGGAAGCACTGCATAGGTTTGAGAGTAATTATAGAAAGAAAACTCAAGTTAATGCATGAAAACCAATCTCCTATATATGGTAAGTCTGTCCTTAACCTTCAAACCTCAAAAGCAATCCCAAGGAAGTACTTTTGGTAAGGAAGCACTGTATGAAGTTTGAGCTTGATCAGCCACCGCTGACATAGTAATGCCTACATGTCGCCTTGGGAAGGAGTGCAAAAAGGAGAGAACAATACATTAAATAGAAATTTAGGTAGAGAAGCTTAGAGATTGGAACAATGACTTGTGTCTGTTTTAATACTTCCTAGGATAACAAAACATCCACAGAGTTACTAGCAGCCAAAGCTGTCATTTACAGCTACAATAATTATGTAGAAAATTTATAAAGATGTAATGAATTAAGTATTGTATGTAAGTACTTTCAATATAAAGCGGTTTAATTATTTGTCGAGATCTTTTATGCTCCATGTTTGAATGAAAAAACTGCCATGAAATTGAGGCGAAAAAGTTTGTTACACACCTGACCCTTATCGCGACCCTTTTTCCCTTGTGTTAGTGGTGATGACAGATATTTCATTCCAAGGCATTGACAACACTGTTACTTAAGCCATCAAAAAATATTTATATTAGGTACAGCACGGATTAGCAGGTTCTGGTTGTTTTACACCTAAATGGCCATGGTAACTCAATATTAAAGAGTCCAATATGAAAAAACTTCTCCTGATCAATATCTCCCATCTTCAAAATACTACATCCTGTAGTACAATATTTTATTAAATTCAACTTGAATGCTTTACATGCAGCACATCATGGGAAATACAGTTTTCATTTATAATGACACTGCCCTCATATCAAATTGAAAATTATAGAAATCTCCATTTAGTTGTAAAAATTGTTTATTTTGAATGGTATACAATGTTAAGTACTTGTCAGTTTTATACACTGTTCTTCCTCTCTAAGAAAACCTGAGAAACATGTGCTAAACAATAACAATATATGCAGCAGTTTTTTTATGCAAATTATAAATCTTGAGTGAATTTCAGTTACACACCTGCACCCTGTCAATGAAGGCAAATGACAGACTACAAAGTTCATTCTTATGAGACTTTTCTAGCTGCAGCCATCTGGCTTTTTTACCTGCAGCCCTAACACACTGTTAACTTTATGATAAATTAACAAGAACTTCTTGGATCCCAAATCATACTTGATTGGTTGAACTAACTATGTGATGCAGTATAGGTTTCTTAAGTACATTCATAATGTCATATCCTTAATGCATAGAATAACATTACTGTAACTCATTAAACCTGACTGCATCCTGGAGTCTCTTGAACATGCAAGATGACCAGACTGCCACTAGCTGTTGTATGGGTAAGGCAATACCTTTTCTGATATAATACACCCACTGGGTGTAAGCTCCAATATTAACAAGGCTAATGAAATTCCTACTGTTACGACACTATTGGTGTAACATAGAGGTGATGACCTTTCAACACTGTATTTTTACCAACAGGTGAAACAGCACGAGGTTCCCACTGATTTTTCAGCAGATCCTGATAATTAACCACAGGTTGTGTCATTGTGCTGTATCCTAAAGGTGATGCCACTGCTAGCTAAGAACCACTCGTGTACTTAAATTTGTGCATAGTCAGCTGCATATGTCACATTTTATTAGAACAGAGCATGTAGTGATACCAATATTTATACGATGAAATAGATATTTGAATCTCATTTTGATCTAGTCTCCTAAGGGTTTTGTCCAACCTAGAAACATTGTCACCATTTTAATTTACCAAGCCAAACTCATTTTTCAAAATTCAGTTTTCATTAAGATGACAAGATACTTCTTCTTCAAGAAAACCTAGTGCAGATTTTATGTTCATGATGTTGACCTGAAGCACATACAAGGCTTTGGAATGTGCCCCTAAACACTTAAGATAAACTTTGGGCTATTCTATAGACATGTGGAATATGAGATTGTGGAGATTCACAATGCCTGTTCACAACAACCCTTACTCATTGAACACCTGCAGAAGTTAATTCTAGGCATGACGCCAATACACTGGAAAATGTGTGCACTTTTAATGCCATGTAAACAAGTTAAGCTATCAAGATATTTAAGCATTGTACCATATTATATTAACATATACTTTAAATTGAAGGCATTGTATGATGCAGATTGAAATGACTGTCCAACAAAGCCATAATTACTTACTGGCAGAATTATATCCTTTACCACAAATAAATCCTAATCTTCTGGCTTCTCTTCTATATTAAACAACTTCAGACCCAAACTTTCCTCAACTAAAGATTTCTTATTTCAACATTAGTGAAAAATTTCTCTTCAAAGAATATCTATTAAGAAAATCTCAGGTTTTATCAAAACATATGTACATAATAATAGCCAATGTTCAGACAATAATATGAATGAATCTCCTCTAAGAACTGGATGTCTATTCAAAGATGTCAATTAATTTAAAATTTGACAGGTAATCCTGAACTATATAAGCACTGCATCATTCTGATATGAAAGAAACTTCAAGACAAACAAAATTGTGCAATGATTGAAGTGAGAAAGAATATTCTGTAGAAGTTGATAAATTGTCTGAATTGCCTACAGCTATGATAAAAATGTAATTGGATTATGCAGAAAAAAAAATTATGCACGTTCAAACGAAGAAAACAAACACAAATAAGAGAATAATCACAACCTTTCAAGGCCATACTGAATTTCATATCAAGGTTAAAATAAAACTTCAGCTGGTAATCAACTGATACCAGAAAACATATTTCTCAAAAGAATTCAACCACCCTTGTATTTACACAGGGATCGACATTTAAACTGTTTTTTAAGTGTACATGCTCCTGCCTAGAGAGTCAAACATGTGATCATCCAAATTTACCTGCCTAAATGTTATTTTGACTTGTCTGATATATTATCTTTAAAACAAGAGCACAGATAGGAAAAGTTCAATTAGCTTTAGGTTTTGGTTTTCCTTGGTTCACAAAACATCTTGTCAGACTCTTCATCATATCATGATCATGGAAATTGTCCTTCAACTAAGGGCTTAGTATATAACTTCTTCCCTTTTATACTGCTGCTTTTGTGCCTTTCTCTCCTAATCATATTCTGATGGTACCAAAACGAAGACAGATTTATACTCATCATGCCTGCCATCAAACTTAATTATTGCCATATTTTTTAAACATTTGAAATCTGCCATATGAAAATAAATATTTGCTTGGACATGATTAACAAAAACAGAGTGAGCAGGGGCTCACTACGAAAAATCTTTATTTGAGAAATGATCAAATGTACCCCTTGGCCAATGACCACCAAAATCTAGATCAGATGAGGACCTTTGTGGGGTTAATATGAACTAAATTTGTCCATGACTTCATGAGATATCTTGTATACAATTTTATCACACAATTCATGCAAGCATAGACAAATTTATCTCTATAATGATATACTTATCATGTACCCCATACCCAAGGGGTGAGGAGAGGTAAAATTAGGACCTGTAAACCTGCCCTACTTGCAACTCATTAACTTTGGGTTTTGTCAATGTTAACTTAAACTTAGTAATCACTGTATTTCTAATATTTCACATAAATTTCACACAACCTGACCTGGTCCAAGCAAGGTTTATGTCAAATCTTGATTTAAAGAAGTGAAGCAATCATAGGGGTAACATCAAAGAGATTCACAGCAAAAATATTGAAATGTAAAATGAGACATAGCTAATAGAAATCTGTAACAATATGTAGCAAACAAGCTCTTAATGAAGTTTCACTGATCAAAACCTATTGATGTAGTTGTACTGAAACTAGCACTTTAAGTAAAGAAGCTGAACTTGAATTATTTTGCAAAAGCTGATTTTCTATATCTGGTAACAAAGCATTTTTAGGAAGTCCTAGTTTCACAGACCTATGGAAGTTCATGTTACTGAGCATGAGTCCTAGTTTCACAGATCTATGACAAAGACCTATGGAAGCTCATGTTACTGAGCATGAGTCCTAGTTTCACATACCTATGGAAGCTCATGTTATTGTGTAGAAGTCCTAGTTTCACAGATCTATGGAAGCTCATGTTATTGTGCAGAAGTCCTACTTTCACAGATCTATGGAAGCTCATGTTACTGAGCATGAGTCCTTGTTTCACAGATCTATGACACAGATCTATGGAAGCTCATGTTACTGAGCATGAGTCCTAGTTTCACATACCTATGGAAGCTCATGTTATTGTGTAGAAGTCCTAGTTTCACAGCTCTATGGGAACTCCTGTTATTGTGCAGAAGTCCTAGTTTCGTAGATCTATGGGAGCTCATATTATTGTGCAGAAGTCCTATTTTCACAAACCTAAGGGAGCTCATGTTATTGTGCAGAAACTAATTTTTTAAGACAAACTTACAATAAAATATGGTTTTCATATATTAACTTAACATGTGATAAACAAGATCTGATAACCTTACACCAACAGACTTTTTCTGTTTAGGGAAACAGACACACCCACCGGAATCAAGCCATGTACAGGGTTTGTGCATGAGTCAATTAAAATTAATAAGCATTTTGTCAAAATGAAAGTCATCCCCCCCTCCCAACCTTCCTTTTTCACATAAATAGATTAAATCCAATGAAGTTTGAAAGAAACTAATTGGATACTGAGATAGAAGATCTAACTTCCAGATCAAAAAGCTAAACAGAATGAAGGGCAATAACTCCTCCAAAACTAGTTAAATCAAAAAAATATTCAGTGTCTTTCTTGAATACTGATCATGCTTAAAAAATAAACTCATCCCAGCAGGTTTTTTTTCCATGTTAAAAAAAAAAAAAAAAAAAACTGATGTAGAATACTTGGAAGGACCGAGGATGAGAAGTGATTAGAAAGGCCCAATATCTGAAAACAGTGAGTGAAAGAAAGGTAAAGTTTGTTTCTCCTACCTCTTCTACAAACAGCCATGGATGACAAGTGGTGCCCAGTATGGAGGACCGCTTCAGACCATGGTCAAATATTGCTTTCAATGCTGGGCATAATCTATAACAAAAACAGTAAAATTTCAACCATTGAAAAAGAGGGATTGCATTTTGAAGAGAAATCTAAAATTCAGCCTATTGGCCTCACTTTTTTCTGCAAAATATGAGCCAAAAACTAATTGATGCACAATAAGCTTGCCTTTCTGTAAGAATGTTTTGGACAGATAGGGTTAATTATTGCCATTGTGTTTAGGTGGAGTAACAATTAAAGAAAAGGTGGCAGATAAACATACAATTAATAACATATGCCATCATATAGGTTCACAGTCCTTTGGACAAGGTGACCTTAAAAACTTATAGACCAATGACACAAAGCCATTACAGATGATCATCAATTCTTTTTTACAAAGTGAAAATCATTTATTTAATGAGATAGACTAGTAAAAATACTTACGTGCCCCTAACAAGATCTGTGATGTTTTCTGTGACCGAGTCATCTCCAGCAGAACAGTAGTGCTTACTTCTCTCATCAAGGAGCTCCACAAACTTGGCAGGGAACCAGCCCCGGAGACCATTGAGTTCCCCCACCCAGCAGTGCTCATCCTTCTGTGAAATGATCTTGAAAAAAAAATGGAAGAAACCAATTCATTCACAAATATACAAAAGGTTTAGTGGTGGAATAAAATGATAACACCATACAGATCGTATGTAGGATGAAAATTCATCCACCTTTTCCCTAACTAGTAATTCAGATGTTTAATTGTGATTTCTCACAGAAATAACCAGTTTTAACCTTTTGTCAAAGTTCATATAAAATGACCAAGTACTTTTCAAAATATAGAACAAAATTATAAACTGACCAGAGGATGTATAGACCAGTATTGATTAAATACACTTACTGTTATCACATCATTTTTTCTGAAACCTAGCTCATCATCATCGTGTCGTTCAAAGTCTAGTAATGCTTTTGCTCTTCTCCGCTTGTTCCTGGCCACGTTCACATAATTTTCCAAGTCCCTGGCATGACTATCCATTGTGTAATCTGCTATCAGATTCTGTTTCATCAAAATAAAACAATTATTCGTTTTAATGATTGGAATTTTTAAAGAATTTAAAAATAACCACAACAAAATTTGTAACTTTAAAATATGTGAAGATCAGGACATTTAATTGAAAAAAATTCTTTGTAATTTTTAAACCATCATGTAATTTGATGCTGATCTCATTTGTCTTTCATACCAAGATAAGGATGACACCAAGCCAAGTGAAAGATACACATTATATCTCACAACCTGATAAGAAAGTTTATAATTATCTACATGGATGATCTCCTGGGAGATAATATGAAGACCACACTTTCATTGGCACAGCACACCTGAAGCAAATCTGACTGTTAACTATCAATCACTTCCAACAAATTAATAATCCTTAAAATATTTCATTGTAATGATAATATTTTCCATGTGATGACAATGATGTGTTGTTGAATAGAAGAAAGTCAGTTGAAAACATAGGATTCGTGTCAACGTTATGAGGATTTTGTGAAAACCCAAGTTTTCTTGTTTATCTTGTTTGGTTGAAACAGTAGATGAACACAAAGTCAACATCTGAGGTTCATTTTAAAGTGACTTCTCAAATCATAATATTTACATAGTAGTATAAAACTCCACCAAAATATACTGAAAGCTGACTTATCAATCATCATCACAATTTAAAGCTAAATGTCAACCAGACAGTAAGTACCAAATTTAACGACTAATAGAACCATGTTTTCTTCCAATTAATGAACACTCAACACAAAGCAGAAAGGAAATTATCTAGTAAGTTATAAATGAAAAAGGTATCTATAATTAGAGAAAAGTGACACTAATCCTAGCACTAACAAAATGTTGCAATCAACAAAACAATTTCAGTTGCATCAATATCCTGAAGTATAGGGCACCACAAAACAATTCTACTGGCACTGTCGATAAGGGGTGGTACAACGAATGGCCCAAGAAAGATAACTCTAAGTATTTTGCTATTCACCTTTACTCTTCCTAATAGATTATTACTAACCACTTTATTGTTCTTTGGGTCAAGTGACTGAAAATGCCGTGCTAACTGTAAAATGGCCTCTCTCATGTCCACAAGCAGCTCTGTCTGACGAATGTTTTTGGCCTTTCCAAAATCATCATCTTCTTGATCACCCCATAGCAACATTGACACCAAACTTCTTGATCGACGTATGTGACGTTTGTTGAGTTGCTGAAAAACGACACCATTTTGATTAAAATAAATTTTCTTTTAGAAAGAAAGTTTCCTTTTAGCAGGTTACTGTAATATGAGACAAGTTATGCCTGATTTAATTAGCACCGCATCAAAATGCTATCTTTACAACAGATATGTTTCATTAATTTGGCAATGCTATTAATTTCAATACCCAAATTTTTAAAATGAAGAAAAACACTTCATAGTGATTTTCATAATTTGACATTGGAATTTACTTCGCCTCTGGTCTCGGTGTACTCTTATAAAGAACAAAGAGGTCTCTGTACATGAATTGCTAATCATGTCACCACAGCTATTTTCAAGGTAGAAATATTTAAGTTTTCTTTCTACATTAATTAACTGTATGTTCTGAATGTGATATATTCTGATGTGTTACATGATCTTAAAACAAAATGAAGGTTTACAAATACATTATATGTTTTTGAGATTGTCCTGTTAAGTTCAAATATAGAAATCTTTCATCACACTTGAGAATCTTAAAAAATATCACCTAGGTCTTTACCTAGAAGTCACAGTAAACATGGACACTTTCGTTGCAGACAGTTGGAGGTTTACACATTTTTCAGAAGTGTTTAAGCAGAAGGTTTTATTACGGTTGAATAGCACAATATGTTTTTAAATGTGCAAATATATTCATTATTTCATTTAAATATTTTATATACAATACCTACTGTAAGAGAAAATGTACCTGTTTGGGAAGGTTCTTTGTGGAGTCTGGGTTGACAATGACCCCCTGATCTGCCATAAGATATGCCAGGTGTTTCCTTCTATGAGATTCTATCACCATATCCGTCAGTGATCCACATGTACGAAAGGATATCTGAAATATAAAAAAGATTGTCACAAAATCTTCTTTAACAGAACTCAATCCTTCAACAACACCTAAGTGTGGTACATGTTCACTTTCTGATGTATCTATTTATAAAGGCATATACTCACATCTATTAAGTCTTCAACATCCTGTACATCACCTGGTACATCAGAAAGGGCATTGAAAATCTGGGCTGAATTATCAAGAGTCTTCAGTTCATGTTCCTGTTATAGAAAATAAAGCTTTCAAATTAATTGTTCAATCTAATGCTAATGGTTTACAACTGAGTATTCAATTACTTCAATTATTTAGTAATCAATAATTTCAGAATCTTCTATCGTGTATCCTTTTTTGTTGTGTTTGTCTTTGTTCAAAAGCAAGATACAATTATATTGAGGTATTCATATTCTGTATTGATTTGATGTGTTATTCTTTATACTTGTATATCTGTGACATCTTGACATGGCTCAGGAAGAGCGATCAGTAATGGTAAATACAGCAATACCCATTTATCTCGGTCAGGAAGACAACACACTGACAAATATTCAATTTCATATTTTCTGTGGCATGCTTAGTATGTGTGTTATTAGATTCTAAATGCTTGTTGTGCAGTGTATAAACAGATAGAAAAATACCACTCTTACCAATGTCTTGAGTGTTGTGTTGTGTTGTGATATGATGTGTTATGTTTCACACTAGATGATGGGACAGGTGAGATTTCCCTATTTAGGTTTTCCTTCGTGAGATTATTTTATTTATAGTACAGTGCTAATGTATAGTGCACGGGTTGTGGTTTTGGATTTTCATAGTAATAGTTGAATAGTGATGTGAGTTGATGTCATGGGACTTAATACATATCATTGTAGCAGAGGTTTATCCATTCTGTCCAAATCTGAAATGTCAAGTTACAGTACACTGAACTCATGTCATTCTGGGTATTTCAATCCTTTTTTTTCTGCTTTAACAAGACACACATCACTCCAAACCCAAAACTCCAAGCGTGTTAACATATACTAGGAGTTAAAAACCTAGTTGTACAACATCATTCAGTATTATGAAGTAACGGGCCTGACAATCCTAGATTTCTTTCTTTCTTTGTAGCATAGGTTAAATAGATACCATGTGATGACTGGTTATAATTTATCTATTCTATCAACATACATTGGTTAACCTGTCCGATTTCTCTACATGATCCTCTTTTTTACCACAATTGAGTCTATTAGAACAATTATTAAAAATATACATATACAGCTTGTTTAAACTCTTGACCTTTACCTGAAAGGATACAGTAACTACATATGTATACCTATATATACTTCATGTTGACAATGCAGTGGTAATTAAACAAAACAAGATAAATGTTGTGAAATCATTACTCTGACAATCATTAAATTAACATAAGTTTACTTTCGGCAACATTGCAATGAGTTTAAAAGTATATCAAATGTGGTACTTTGGAACTTACACCGTCAAAAATCACATACTGGTGTCTTATTCACCCTTCTAGTCCATATTCTTCTACTACTGATAATTTCTACCACTGGTATCAAAGTCTGTTTTACAACGTAATGCTTACTCTAGAGTTTCTTTGGCTTATTTTAAAGTCAATTCCATCAAAAATCTTTTTATAAAAAATTATACTTTAGATCAATGCCACAATTATCTTAAATTAAAACTTTTGAGCTAAATACAATTGTAATGCCAATTTCAATCTCTTTTGATATTACTGTAAGAGAGTGAGATGAATATCATGCTGTTCTCTTCTCAACTTAGTTTTTCCATTCACAAGCTCATTCAGACTTAATAGTGATTATGCAATTCAAATTCCAGGTTTTGAGGCCCTTGTTCTGTGGCAGATAGTCATAACAAATAAAAATGAAGCATGTACAGGACAAAGGCATTCAATATACCAAATTTTATCATGATCCAATATTTTCCTTCAGATAAAGTATACAAATGCACTTTACATGGAACACATATGCATTGATAACACTCTGTAGAGATATTTTGGGGTTTTGTTTTCAAGTCTATTGGATCTAAAGCATGCACAACTAGTAGAAATTGAGATGGTCAGCCATATTGCTTTTTGCATCCATTTCAAATGGGTTCAGGCAAAGTATAGACCAAGACAATCATGCATACCTAGTTATATATAGTTTCAGATGGATCAACTTAGTAGACAGAGGGCACTACACCACACTACCAGAAATGTCTCTAAAAAATTGAGTAGGTTTTCAAAAGCCTTGCAGACCCTATGTAACATACACTAAACATTCAGTTTATTTGACCTTGACACTTAAAAAAATATCTGAAGCCTTATGTAAGGAACAAATATTTGAAGTCTCATTAAAAATCTATAATGCACTGATGGACACACGCAGCAATGCCATTATCCCGTGCACCAATAACCATACAAATACTTGATACTACAAAACATACCTCAGATCCTCTTGTACAACAAGATAACAAAACAACATAGGCTACATCTATCTGGAGTTTTTGTACAGAAATTCTTCTAAAAGAATCTTGAAACATAAAATAGGAAGCAAAAGGTATCTACATCAATAAATATTGAAATATAGCAAGAATACTGGCAAGACTGTGCATGCATGTAGTGAAGTTCTCAAAATGGGTAAACTACATGTAGATACAGACCTTCATTTTGAGCATGCCCATGGTCATCTGGAATAAGATAGTGGAGCCCTCGTAGAAGAAGAGGTCCCACACTCTCAGCAGGACCTTCATGTGTACCACACTTGCAAATAGGGTAAGGAACCAGTGTAGACTAATCAGGGATAGTTCTGTAACGCAGCAGGCCAATCAACACATTTGTTAGTATTCACCAAAATGCATCTCAGCAAATCAACATGCATGTTAGATACTAAAATATTTAGTATCTTAAAAACAACAAGGAGTTAAAACAAGGACAGGAGTTAAAACAAACAATAAACATGTATTATCTTTTCATTGAACAGGTATCTTGTACACTGAAAAAAAAACTGGATGCAATCAGATCAATAACCATGATCATAGTTTAGAATCAACAGTTGTTCATTGCCAATAAAAACAGAAAATTAAACATTTAATTCTATATCTGTTTCCAAATTAATTGTTTTCCACAATCAACAACTGTAAACTCCATCTTCTGCTGTCAGAGACACATGCCACCAGTTTGTAAAACTGAGTATAATGTACTGTAGTGGATATTTTCAGACCCAAAACAATACATGTGTATTTCCTGCACTCTATAATCTTAATTAAATTACAGTGCAGTATATAAAAGCTGTACCTATATCATGCTCCTTCATTACAAGGTCTGTATCAGGGAGATAACTGATGATTAACTGTCGCATCACTCTTTGATCTGCCTGTAGAATAGAAATAAGACTCAATCAATAAATAATCTTAAAAACACAATAATCATGTTTGACTATCATAAATAGCATTTGATGTTTCTTTTTTGATTAGATAGATCAAATGCATTATCATTTCCAAAATGACAAAACTCTACACAATCACTGAAATGAGATGATAGTAGCTAGGCTTAAATAAAACCACAAAGGGAAATAACTCAAACTGAATTGGTATAAACTTGAAAATCACTAGTTTTAACACATTGTGTAAGTCTGCAAAATAGTGACAGAGTATAAACACATGTATAGGATAATTTTTCACATTAGCCATTGGTCTTGAGATTTTCTTCTTTCCAAATTTGACAAAAAGCAAAGCCACATAATGAAACACTGGAACTGACCTTACTCAGTTTGAAAGGCATCAGTACCTTATATGATACATTTCACAACATATAACTGAGAGACTGTCACATTGGATGATTTCAATATGCTCCTGTTAATTTCATTGTAGAAGTAAAATCACTAATCATTAACAATTCAGTATTTTTACATAGGGTGTCCTGGAGCTCCAAATCATATTACAATGAATAGGAGTTCCATTTTTTTTGTATTACCATGTATATGCAAAAGATTTTCCAATGTCTGCAATCATTGTATTTTACACACCTGTATCCCAATAAGAGTGCTACTGTAATAGGAGGCTGGTAACAGGTCCTCTATTATAGCACACATCATCCAGAAGGCATCCTCCTCCTCCATAAACAAGAGCAGAGATGAGGCTATCTGTAAGTATTAAATTCCATTGTACACATTGCAGGGCAATTTAAGCAAGGTTTATACATGCAATATATCTAATCATATAGCATTGTCATCTTAGTTTTCATACCAAAATCAAACTAAAATCTACAGTAAAATTTACCCCCTCACTAGAAGGATATGGGAAACCCAAGTGTAATCAAACTTTACACTCTTGCTTTTTTAATAAAGTAACTTAGTACCTGTTAATCTATGGAGTTTTTGACTCTTAAAGTATCAATCTAGAAAAAATCTTGAAATTTAAGCAAAATTTCCTCCTTTGAGCCCAGCCTTTCTGGATCGTGGGTTGGATCTGCATCTTTTTTCTATCTTTATTTTCATAAAAACCATTCACTATAGTAAAACTTATCCTTCCTTAGTGGAGAAAATGAGACCCAAGAAAATATCATAGCCTAGAGAAGATGGAGGGGGGAGGGGTCCAAAGTATTTGACAAAAACAAAAACAAGAATACTTCAGACAAAATTTAGGCAAAATCCAACCATTCCTACTGGCAAAGTAGAATTTTAAAGCATTTGCGCTATTTTCCCCTATTTGGCCCAACACATCCCTCACAAGGGGGTCAAGATTTGCCAATTATACAAAACTGATATTCCCCTTGACCTATAAATACTTCAAAACAAATTTAGGCAAAATCCAATCTTTCCTTCGGGAGGAAAATAAGTTTTAGAATAATTTATTCTATTTCTCCTCTTGGGCCCTGCCCTTCCTACCCCAGAGGGCAGAGACCTAATATTCATATATGACTGATTCCTCTTCACTTCAAATGTAGCAGACCAAATTTGGGCAATACTGATTCATTCCTGTAAGAGGAGTAGGATCCCCATTTGGCCTCATTCCTTCTGCTCCAGAGGGCCAAGGTCTAACTTTTATACAATATTGATTCCCTTTCACCAAAGAATGCTTCAGATGAAATTTGGGCAATATCTGTTTAGTCGTTCATGACTAGTAGCAATTATTAGTAAAAAGTTGACAGATGCCAGACATCGTGCCATTGCTTAATCTCACCAGTCCTTTGGACCAGGTGACAACATAAGCTACCCCTCTCGTCAAGAGGCGAGCTCAAAGCTGGTGGAGAACTGCATATTAAGCAGACCTATCAAGTCATGTCTTCTTTTTTGCCCTGGAATATTTCTTTAAATACTTACCACACCAGTTCCCTGACAGTACCCAATGTCTGGATAGAGCCAGGCAAGACCCCGTAGAACTCGACGTAAACGTGGTATCCCTGTACTGTGTACATTACAGAAGCAGGCATTGCTTGGCATAGTCCGCAGAAGATCCTGGGAACATTTACACAGTATCTTTGTTACCACTATTGCAAATAAGTAACTGTGAAATCAATAAATGGGATGACTAAAACCTTGGAAATCACTTAGGTAACAGAAGTATATACATTTATCATGCTTAATGAAGTTGTAAAAGCCCATAGTACAGACAGTAGCTAAAGTCCATGACAATCAGTTCTATCATTTGGAATGTCATTAATACACATAATTAAACAAATGATAACTTAAATGGTCTAATGTTTGGGTCTGCATTTAACTCCATATCTAAATAAATTTGAATTCTAAAACCACAAAATAAATTTCAAGGAAAAAATGTACGCACTGACATGATGCATAATCCACAAGGGTACATGCACAGATGTTTACCAGAGTGATCCAACAAGTAATGCATACAACCTTTCAAGGATATAATCACATCAGGATTTCTTTCCTCTTTTTTCAATCCAAAAAGCCATGAAATCTTAGCTCTTTTAACATCTCCACATTATTTGTTTATATTTACAGTTTGTAAATGACACTATAACTTATACATAGATAATGATAGTCTCTTTGACATGCTTAATAATATGACGTCATGAATGAAGGACTCCTGGTGATATCATCATATCACACCATGTGCTGAAATTCTGCATGTTTTATAAAAAAAATGCCTCCATGAAATAAAGTCAGTTTGAGATACGGTCCTTACGTCAATCTTTATAAAACTTTTGAGTTGTTTTTTTTTCACAGAATCTCAGTAGAAGAAATGTTGGAATTTTGTATCTCGCAAATCATATATGAATATATTTTGATAGTTTAGTTATTGTGGTATCAGAATGACTGAAAGTAGACTATTCCATAATGGTAGTTCTTCAGCCGGAAAACAGAGTATTTTTGTCATTTTGTGTGTGTAAAACATTGGAATGGATAAAAGGGAAACTGTCCTTTATGAAGAAAAACTGTAAACATAGGGATTAACTTTCTATTTATGGCTAGGTTATTGGGGATAACTACAACCAGCTTCAAGTACTTAAGTCCTATTCTCTGATCACCTAAACAAAAAAAAAGTTAATCTTCAATAATTGTTTCATGGGAGATGTCAATTACGTAGTCTTTTCAATATGGACTATGAAGTACTGTAGAATCCTATCATCCAAACCTTTTTTTAAACAATTAGCAATGTTATGCTATTACATTGATATAAGTCCAATTTTGTACCTTTATCAACAGCTTATGTAAAACTTCCTAGAAAGACCTACTTTTTCAATCTGTTTTGATGTCATGAGATGATCATTTGAACTGGCCTTTACAATATCCTTGTATGTAAGATCTGATTTTTGTTTTTTCTCTAGAGCTCCTGAAAGCCTCATCCAAATCTGGTTTCTCAGAGAGTGTGGGATTCCCTGTCGCACCATTAGTCTCAGCTTTTCTGAGCGTGGCAGGCGTGGCTCAACCTGGAACACCAACTTCTAATATGTAATTTCAAAATGCACATGTGGCAACTACGAAATGATTCATTTTCTTTTCCAATTGTAATAAAATGTACTATATTCCCATTTAAGACATGCACTTATGATTCATGATTGGGAAATAGATGTCATTCTTTACCAAGCATTTTTTTTTCATTCTCTCTCTTAAATCTTCTAAAAGTTGTCAAGAGAATAATTTTAAAAATTATACATTTGTAAAACGTTATTTTTTTCGTCCAGTTTGAAGATGATTGGATCTTACTGTTAAGATACCTTAAACACTTATTTGTCAAGACCATAACTGGAAAGTTATTACATGTACATCAATTTTCAAAAATTAAATAAAATACAGAAAAAAATAATCACTGAAAGAATGACATAAAACAGTGAAAAGTACTCTATATATAACTTATATCTAATGACAATAAAACTATACATATACGTAACTTACCAGTCACATTCTTTTTAATACATAAATATCTAGTCAAAATAAATTTTGTTAATTTCCATTACCTTATCCCAGGTCAGGTCACCCACTTCATTGTTGTGTGTAAACTCTAAATAAGCTGTCCATTTCAAGCGATGTTGGGCATCCTCTATAAATGGTGTACTGAGCAACTTACTTGAGTTCTCTTCAGGACCATCTAGAATGAATACAGATCAAACTGAAAACAACTATAATCAGATTCCAACTTACATAATGCCTGTATTATGTTTTTCATTGATATACATTAATTTCATATAAGGTGAATATACTGGCACATATGAGTTATATAAATCGTGTTATGCTTCTTTCAAACTAAAGAGTATTAGTTTTCTTTGTTTGTACTCAAAATTCTGCTCTCTGATTTATCAATATTGTTGCTTTTTCCTCTTGGTAAAAAAAAAAGCAAAAATTGCAACTTGATAATGATTTGAGGAGTCAATGGCAACATGCCACATTATGGCAGGTCTGTTGGAACTTTTTTTTGTATGAATGGAATATCTGTTTTCACATTCATCTGGTGTGTGGATTGTTGTCATTCAATAATGTGAACAAAAATTGGACTACAACATCATAAAATATTCAAATATCTTAAAATGTACACAAACAATAAACAACGAATATAGAACTGATTTATCAGGGGGAAAATATGTTATATATTTTAACACATTTCCTTTTGGAAGCAATTAGTGTAGTGATTTACTATCAAATAATCCTTCATTAAATTACTGGTATCAAATTTATTCATTTATGTGTTATTTAATTGATTCATGAAACCTATCTAAAAAATTAATTTCAAGCTTTGATAGGAATATTTATTAGTTTCATGCTGGTATGTAAGACAAACCTTTTTGGAAACTTATAAATACCCCATGTGTATTCATTTAGTTTGCAAATTGATTCTCTTTCATACCAGCATGACACTAAAAAGTATTCCTATCAAAGTTTAAATATAAAGCAGTGGCTAATACTGATGATACATGTATATAATGCTATCTCACCATATTCAATTACAAGTATCTAAATTATCACTAATTGCCCTTCAAATAAATAGTGTCCTCTCTAATACAAGTGGTCATAAAGGGACTTTGGGTGTCCACTGTAAGTACAATTTATCCCATGATATACTATACCATAAAAAATTACAATAGTCATATGAAATAAGGTATTTCTTATCCCTGTCTCATAAACTTTTCTTTTGTTCTTCTGTTCAATCTCAAAATGTCATGTTTTCCATTCTTACTTCCACTTAGAATGTTCTAATCTGTCAAAATTCATAACACTTGTATTTTATCATTCTTACCTTCTTCTTCAACTTTGAAGCCAAATTCATCATATCTGTAGTCTAGTTGGCCATTTGGATCTTCAGGCTTAACAATAGAAAGGGACTGTTATTATAACTGTTTTCTACATATCAATGTATATCTTCATTCATGGTATTTCAGAACATTTTATTCAGGCTGATGACAATAGAACAAAATTGTTATAACACATTCAGTAGAAGAATTCGTTTAACAGCACACCCACTGACAAAGCACTTGGTATTATATGGAGCCACTCACATTTATAACCAAAAGTGAAATATTTCATATAGTGCTCATAAAATCAATGCTTCAAATTAAAAGAATGAAATCATAGTTCATAATTTATAATGATACAACAACATCCCAAACCTTAACACTACAATTAGGAAATCTGGTAACATGTACATCACTGGAAGATTTTAAACAACACTTTACAATTGAGATAACTAAGATGAAGTATTGATTATTCTCTTTAGTTAAATACAGCAACTATCTCCAAAACATTGCTGAATTTACATCACAGGAAATCACTCTAAACACACACCTTTATCTTAAGTTTAAACAATCAACAGGCCTTATATTTAGTTAATATGAAAACAAGAGGCCCAAGAGATCTGCATTGCTCACCTGGCTAATTCAGCTGTTCAGTCATTCAACCAAAAATTTCAAATTTACGTCAAGTAACTTCTGAAATAATGCCCCTATTGGGTCAAAGTCTTTTCGTCAAAACAGTGGTCATATCATCTTATATATGAATTGCTTCAGACCTAACTTTGACAATATCCTTCTACAACAGAAGGATTTTTAAGAACTTACATTTCCCGTATAGGGTCCCACATCTCTGATATGTTAGACTCCTGGTTGATATAGAATAAAAAATCAGGTTCCTTTTTAACGAGGAATTCTTCAGACCAAATTGGAACAGAATCAATGCATTCTCATAAAAGATGGATTTTAGAGAATTTCCTCTATATCCACTGTTTGGCCCCACCCGAAACACCAAAGTACATGTACACTTCAGACCAAATTATTTAAGAATCCTGATATTTCTACAGAAGAAAAGGAATTTTAAAAAATTTGCACTATTTCCCCTATTGAGCCTGGCCTTTCAATTCCAGGATTGGGGGTGGTGTGGGGGCCCAGGCTCAAGACCCATTGAACTGTTTCCCTTTCACCCAACCAGACTTTAGATCCAATACAGACATCTCTATTTACCCTATTGGGCCACACCTCTCCAACTCCCATGGGGCAAAGACTCACAGTTTATAAAGTTGACTTTCATTAGTCAAGGATGTTTCAGACCAAGATTGGACAACACCCAAGCATTTTTAAAGAATAAAAATTATTTGTATTTCTCAAACTTCTATTTCCCCTATTATATCCCACTCCTCCCCTCAAAGGGGCTGAAACCTACTGTTCATATAAAACTGATGATTCCTTTTCACACATGAATGCTTCACACAAAATTTGGGCAATATCTATTCATTCCTACAGGTGGAGTAGAATTTTACACAACTTGCAAAATTTCCTGTTTTGGGCCCCACCCTTTTGGACCAGATGAGCTAAAAACCTATAATGAACTAAGCAGGAATTTCATAATCTATTGAAGACAGCTACCACTTCTACTTTCAGGACTACAAACATTACATGTGAATTAGGTATACAGTGGTACATTGCATATGGAGATACTATTCTATATATTCTTACAGATGTAACAGAATTGTCAACATATCCATATAACAGAAATATTATTGATTACTACACACGATCTGCTGTCCCAAAATCAACAAGGGCATATACCACTGACAAACAATTTTGTATCATTGCAATTCTCTTAAATCACAAATTGTAATTTAGGAGAGAAAAAAAAACAAATAAAACTGCCTTTCCCATGGATCCATCCAAAACACATGTCAAATAAACAGAAGTTCATCAAATTGACAATACTAGATATAATGAAACAGTGTTTACAATATCAAACTGGAGATAACAAAATTGAATGACTTCAAAAGTAGCTGCTTTTATTACCTGATTTCTTAGTTTGGATAAGATGTCTTCTGGCCACATAGAAGGTGTAAGGGCTGAGAAGGGTCCACCTGGGGTAGGAGTGAAATCCAGACTGCTATTGGACATGTAGTTTGTAGATGATACACTAACTCCTTCACCACTGGCACCAACAATTTCATCTTCATCCTCAGACAAGGTGTCCACTGGCCATACAAACAATTCCATTATCAGTATTCAAATACTACAGGTTGTACTGACAAATATCTATACATGGAAACAACATTTTTAATTTTTACAGAACAGTATATATCTCATCATGCCTGGAAATAAATCAACCCATACATATATGATCAGGTAATGTGATAGCCCCACTGCAGGATAAATAATATGTGGGATATGTATATTTCAATTAATATGTGCTAAACATCATGATGCATGTCCTATATTACACAACCAAAGTGTTAATTAAGGTATGTCCTGGTTAGAGAAATAACATAAATTGGTATAAATTTATTTGCCTAAAACCGCAACATTTCTATATTTATCAATGTGATGCTTGGTTGACTATTTCAAGTAACACAGTGAACACTGAACAGTAATGGAGTAACAATGTAAGATTCTAAATGCTTTTTCCATCAAGTAACATAGTGTCATCAAGATTGACAATACACACTACAGAGATCACCCCAGGACACAGCTGGAGAATCATAACTTAATCAGCTTGGATTGTGTGAAGTTACTGAATTGAATTTGCAACATCTTGTAATGTTGACAAACTGATTGTGACAAAAATGAGGAGAGTTCATAGACATCTATTTTGATCAATTATTTTTTACTCTAAACATAGTCATAATCAAATACAGGGGAACTTCTCCCAATCAACCATGCATGGGACACAGATATTTGGCCGGTTTATGGAGGGTTCAGTTTGTAGAAGTGATTCAAGTCAGTATGGACTTTGATATAATTTAACTAATTACATTCTGTACATTACATTAACCATTCTGTTTGCTTTCAGCATTTACACTGCACATGTCCAAATGAATACAGAATTTTTTTTATAAAATAAAATAGTTCAGTAAACAGAAAAAAGAGTGATACCTGTATACTATATGTGGCTTTAGTTGAAAAGAAATCTACACATTGCCTGGCGATCTTGGAAACAACAATTCATATGGCCTGACGTAGCCGTAGTCAGCTTGTCAGCTCATCCAAAGGTGTTACCAACCAATATATTTGATGAATACCCGTATGTGTTTTAGTTGATCAATATACAAGCTTATCTTCTAAAATAACACTCAGTCAATATTTCCATTATGTATGTGTTACAATAACATTATTCAATTATTCACAATTTAGATGCAAAATTGCAGCATTCTAACTCTGTATCAATACTTATTGTTACTTTACCTGTAGCTATTTCTTTCTGAAATAATGTAATATGGTTTCAGTTTGTTATTGAAAACAACAGATCAGATTGTGTAGGTTAGGCCAGTTTTTCAGAATTTACTTTCAGTAAATTTCAATAATTTTTACATAAAATTGTTTAGGTAATTGACATTGAGAAGAATCGGTACTGGGAATGTTTTAATTACTATAATGACGATATCATTCCCTACATGGCCATTCCATTTGGTTTCCTGCAGTAATTGGTACTGAAAAGGACTGGTTTGGGAAAGTTGCACTGTATTCATAATGTGAAGTCACGTTCTTACAGACACTGAAACAGTACTGCCTGTAGTAAGCAACAATTCTGGTTCATAATTGCAAGAATAATAAGAATTGGTATTGGGAAGGTTTTAATTATTATAATAACTGCATGAAAGTTTTTTTACATTCTCTAGACTGAAAACTGAGGTCTATGCAAAATATTGATGAAAAAAAATTAGACTATCATTGTAATTGTGTTTGCCATGTTATACATGTATAAAAGGATATAGGGGTAACAAAAAACTAGCTTGCCCATGATAATGACTTACTTAACAAAGTACTGCCATCTGAACAAAACAGTTAATCTTAAATATCTATGTTTACATAAGGGAAATTATCATCAAATGGTAGCTACAAATATACACTGATCACTTTTATATGAAAACATCTCATGTTTCCAAGTAATTTTTCATCATAATACCAAATTTAATTGATATTTTCTCCAAACATTCGGACACCATGATGTTCAATAAAGAATGATATTCAGCACTTGCCACACTTTTTTTTTAAATCAGTTTGACCGGGTTGTTCAGTTATGAAATAGTGACGGACATACTGACTACACTTTTAGTTTCTGAGAAGCTCCGACAGAATATTTTGAGGCCTGAATGTACTTGCAAGTTGCTGAAATATTACATTCAAAAGTACCCGAGAACCGCTTTGTGTGCAATAACAAACAGGTCCGAGCTATTTTTTATGAGAGACCTGTACTCTAATACTTTTACGAATGTACTGTCTTGCAACAATAAATTATATTCCATATTTCAAAGGCAGTCTTGTGAGCTGATAACTATAATATGTCCACGCTGACATGTACAACTCTGATTCGATTTTTTTTTATTGAATTGTCTACTGCATGGTGGTGAGGCTTCTGTGCGATACATATTTTTATAAACAAATAGTTTCATATTGATATCTTATCTTATTTTTTCTACGAAATTCATTATTTTATACTGTTCGAAACAAGAAATGTTTCCTTTACGTTTTAACAAAAGAGTTTGATCAATATCACAAGAATGGTGTTAAAATATTGTCGGCAATAGGCATCCGACAATACAACACCTCGGCTTGTCAATGTGGCATACGCCATGCTTGACAGAATTATCAAAGACCAGTCCGCATTTGTTATTACCTGTCATTGCTTTGCTGCTGTATCCTTCAGCATTTCTGCTACCGAAAACGGATTTTGCTATGTCCATTTTTGTTGCAGGCTATGTAAACGGGTAAAATATTTCAGTATCCGTCTGCTATTTTCTTCCATCCATCTTTCTAATGAATATGTAAATTATGTTTTTGTGGCGCAGAGATATTATTTGCACGGTGTTGTTTTATAAGAACAAATAATTGCAGTTTTCAAACAATGAATCAATTTTGATCCGAAAGCAAAACCATATTTTCAATTGAATCTTCCAAAAATGATCAACCAAACGATGTTATTTATTGATGGTAACCTGGAACATTTTAGACTTGTTTGTGTACCGTTCACTTACTAAAAGGAAGTGGTACAACGGCTAACATCCGTTGACGTCAACGGGGAGCATTCATTGATTGAGAAAGGGATCCATCATTGCCTACATCCGATGAAAACCGGTTCGAATCCCAGCAAGGACATGAATGCATTTTATTTTTTTTTGTTTTTTTTTTGCTTTTTGTTTCATTTTTGTCAGATTTGACACTTTTTTCATTTTATATTAATTGTTAAATTAGACAACGAAACTACAACCATTCATTTATTCATTTGATCGAACATACTGTAACATACTAAACGGGGAAAGAAGTGTATTACACATATTAATCCAATTCCATAGACATGTTGACTAAGATATTCCGTGAGTATTGTGATTAAATGTTCTCCATTTAAAAATGACGATAAAGAACACACATTATACATGTACAGTGAACAAAAGGCCCCAACCGTGTACAAATACGTATTATTATAGAAATATATGTGTGTATGCAATCACAAACACAGATATGTATATACCACAGGTCTTTGATGCATTAGTGCCCGTATAATGTAATCAACCTGCCATGTGCTTTATACGGGATATCGCATTATGATATCGAATATATATAAACATTTATATAACAATACACTCAACAAAACAAAAACAAATGAAATGTTAAACCAAAGATATATAATATATATATTAATATTACATCCTGAAATATCCTATATCGGGCCTCGCGGTTAATAGTTTGTGTCATATTTCATAAATATTGAAACAAAACAAAACAGTTTATAGCTTAAACTACTGTGTACAGATTTGTGGGATTAATTCAAATCATCTTGTCAAAGGAACGGAGCCACTTAAAGGACAGTGTGGATTAAAAACTTAAGATGAAATATTTTCATCCACTTGTATAAGTCATACCATCCCTACTGAAACTATACCAAATTATCATAACATTTTTAATTTGTAAGAGAATCGTAAACAAGTGCTATTGAACGTGTATAGTAAATGTATGCGAAATTAACCTATAGTAGCAATAAATCGTGACATTTTTCTATTGATCACGCCAGACATGTCATTCACACCCGTGTTTGTTATATACGTCACGGTTGTTCACAGTCTCACTATCAAATTAGATGTCACACTCACAAAAGCCGTCGTTCCTGAGCTGGACTCGATGCGGATAAAAGTAAGCGAACTCGCTAAGTGTATTGTTCTCCATTCAGGTTATAGCACGTCACTCTAAGTTGTTCACAATACAGGTAACTTTTTAATCAATTGTCCTGAACGTCGATTGAGTAGATTATTACAATTATTACGTCTATACAACTGTGAACGTTATCCTGTAGGCTGATGTGTGTCACGTCTGAACCAGTTCTGTTTTAAATCACGTTGTTAATACACACACTATCATATGTATTGTCATTGAATTTCCCACAAATTAAAGATCCAGCATCATCTTGTTTCAAATAACGATCTTGGTCCTGAATTAGTGAAATGGTATCCTAGATTCACGTCATACATTAAACATAAGCACATGATATAGTAAATATATGGCAATAGATACGGGTATTCAAAGAGTTCTTGTCACAGAAAATAACAACAAACATGAGAGAGATAAGTATTTATTTAAAGGCACCGTGTATCTACGTAACAGCTGTAGACCACGACTGTGACTGACGTCAGTGATCACAATCAATCCCTGTTATCTGATGCTGTAGTATATAACTCCCGTGTTTAATATGTATGGTTGGGTTAGTGCGTAAATATCTACAATTCGTAGGCATATGTATTGATAATTATAAAGGGCTGCACATGGTCGCAAAGGATGTGTCAGCACCATGTCCTGCCTCTCTATATCGTCTCCTTTTCATTAACCTTGTATCTGGGATGAAATAGAGGTGACAATACAGTTACTGAAATTCACACAGAGGTTTTCTAGTTACTACCGTACATAACTAGATAAATAATCAGTCAGACGGAGGCTTACTAGTTACTACCGTACATAACTAGATAAATAATCAGTCAGACGGAGGCTTACTAGTTACTACCGTACATAACTAGATAAATAACCAGTCAGACGGAGGCTTACTAGTTACACAAATAAACGGTGAAACAGAACCCGACCGTTCTTAACTAGATAAATAAAAAGACAGACGGAGACTTACTAGTTACACAAATAAACGATGAGACAGAACCTGACCGTTCTTGACTAGATAAATAAAAAGACAGACGGAGACTTACTAGTTACACAAATAAACGATGAGACAGAACCCGACCGTTCTTGACTAGATAAATAACTAGTCAGACTGAGGCTTAATCGTCACGTAATGTAGCTCAACAATAAAACGGTAGTTGATTATACAACTAAATAGTTGGACCGTAGATGACCAGTCAAACAACTCAACATTCAGAACATAGTTTACTAGACACACAACTAAACACTCGGGTCTTTGTTAACTAGAAACACTACTAAACTCTCAGAACATAGTTTACTAGACACACAACTAAACACTCAGGTCTTTGTTAACTAGAAACACTACTAAACTCTCAGAACATAGTTTACTAGACACACAACTAAACACTCAGGTCTTTGTTAACTAGAAACAATACTAAACACTCAGAACATAGTTTACTAGACACACAATTAAACAGTCAGACCATAATTTGATATTTACACAACTAAACAGACCATTGTTAACTAGAAACAATACTTAACACTAAGAACATAGTTTTCTAGACACACAATTAAACAGTCAGACCATAATTTGATATTCACACAACTAAAACAGACCATTGTTAACTAGAAACAATACTTAACACTAAGAACATAGTTTTCTAGACACACAATTAAACAGTCAGACCATTGTTAACTTGATACACAACTAAACAGTCAAGCCGTATTTTAAAAGCCACGCTGTAGGTTACCTATTTCAACAGTCAGACGAAATAGCAAATTAACAAATATTACCGTAGTTACAAAGAATCGAAAATTTAGCAAATACCATTCCTGTTTTTAGTGATACGATGTAAGTATAGATGTGTTATATTATGAAATGAACTATAGATGAAAACGGCTATTTATACATACATATAGTATTAAACATTGTACGTTACGTTTATGAAACAGTCGCTGGATAAATATTAAGGATGACGGACAGCGACAGTCTGCATCAAGACGCATTATAGACGTGATTATGGAAGCCAAATGGGAACACATTGAAAACATGACAACATCCAAACAGTACAAAAATCTAAACAACCCAATAGATGTTTCGGTTTCGTAAACTGAAGTTTAGTCACTTTGCAGAACTTAGTCACTATCTTTGTTTTGAATACCAACACAAATTGTATTTTTGTATTTGGTCAATTCCATACGCGCGATAACAGCCTGATGGAATGGCGTCCACCGGATGTAGCGACAATCCTTTAGCTGTAACATCAGCTCAGACACTCGCTTCATTTCTTGAGCAATCTCCTCGTCAGTGTATCTAGGGCGTTCTGGTGCAGTCACGGGATCCCAAGACAATCCACCGTATGACATGACAGGCTTTACTGGGAAAGTGAAGTCCTGTTTGGTGTGATCATCATTCGCACAGTACGGCATGATTGTATTCGTTTGAGTATTGTAGTCGTGCTTAGTATGGTCATCATTTGACCCGTCATCAATTAAATATGAATGGTCACTCTTCATAGCCTGTTCTTGTTTTGTTTCCTCTTTCTGAATATTTTCGTGCATTTTGTTTACTCTCGTAAGCGTCTGTGAGACTGTTTTCTGTGACGAAACTTCCAGCGGAATTATGACTTCCTCTAAATCGAAGCGATGTCTCCAAACCTTTGCTGGTTGGACAGTGGTATCAGGCCGCAACGCTTGTCGAATTTTCCTGCGTCGCATCTTCCTTAAGGCAATTTGTATCTTTATCTCCTTAGCTGGGATGTCGATCCCAGCCAAAAGATCGTGCAAATCTATAGCCTGGCCGGATTTGATTTGCTCCATGTCCAGACTTAGTCGACGTTTATTCAGTACCTCCTGTCTATCAAACAATATGGGTTTCTCTTTAACGGTCAACTCAGTATTTACACCGTGAACAACACACTTTGATAACTTTTTACGACCGTTCGCCTTGGGGCGACCACGTGGACACTTCCCTTTCCGATCACATGATGTGGACCTCTTTTGTGATTTTGAGTTGGATTTACTCATATTTCTCCGATGAACTTTGGAAGTTTCAGAAGTTTCTATGAGAAATAATTTTGGACGTGCTAAACAAGAATCACTTCCACGTCTGTGAGCTAAACGATGAAGTTGTACATCTTCTGACACATTGGCTAACAACTGGTCATTTGGTATATCTAGATTCGGTGCGGTCATGTGTTCCCCAAGCGTTTCACATGTTGATTCCGCGTTTTTGATATTCAGCTTCATCACATCTCGTATTAGACTATCTCCTATAGTTTTCAAAAACTGTTGTTTCAGAGAAAATGGAGACGATTTTCGCCCGAATTCGTCGTACATTTCTTCATCTCCCGATTTTAAAGTTGCCTTCTTTGATTTCTTGAACGTTCTTCTTTTCATTCTTCTGGCTTTTCGCAGCTTTTGCAGAATTTTGGTGAATTGCACCGCTACAAATACAACATTTGCTACTTGTAGAAATTTTCTTCTCCCTTTTAAGCAAGGTGGATGGTTTCTTCTTGGTAATTTAAGACGCATGGCTCTTAGTTGCGTGTCCGTCAGATGGGATATATCAGGG